TTTCTTCGCGTTAGTAACATCTAAATAGGGCGTTTCCATATTCAAATGAAGAGGTGTTCCATCGTTCATGAACTACATGGTTGTTCTTGATGTTAAAGAAATGTCTTCTAACAATTCAGAAAAAAGATTTTCTATCAAATTCGTGAAAGAATGGTCTATATGATTCTCCTGTTTGGCCACGCATAATGGCCAATTAATCGGTCTCCGATGGTTCCTTTCTAATAATGAATCGAGAATTGATGTTAGTGTCGAGATGGAAAAGCTTTGTGTTGTTCTCAGCACAACTGTGCTGGTTATGAAAATTGAATATCTCGTTTCTTCTATTTCTTATAAACATTGTTTTATCAGTGTAGAAAACATTAGAAAGAAATAGAGGGTTTTCCGCGCATTTCTGCAAAATCCACTGGCAATATTCCAATCTACGACGAAAATCGTCAAGTGTCATAACTTAAACACGTTAAAAATAGTAGGGATGAAAATGATTTCCATGCAAAAGTTCACATGACAGATGTTTGAGAAAGTTCATGTTTATGAGTAAGTGTTCTTGAGCTAATATGGGAGCATTTATTTACTGAATTGAGAATACAGTCTTCATTTTGTGGCGTTCTGCACGTTCATGGCAATGCGTTGATTTTGCAATTATTTTTTCCAGGCACGAAAACGAAATTCGTTTTAACTCCTTTCCTACAGGAATTATGATCTACGTTTATTGAAATGTTTAGTTTTAGTTATAGAATACGCTTAGGCCTACTCATTTATGACCAACAGTTATGGTTCACTTTAGATAATATAGGCGTATATTTAAAAAATAATAATTTTCATTTAAGTTATGCAGTAGGCCTAATTGCTAATCGAGACAAATATTGTTTGCCTGCTTTTGATTATTAATAAAGAAAAGTAGTTAATTTGTTTAACCAGAAATAAAAAATTTGAATGCTAACCTAAAAAGTCCAGACAGCTATACTTGCTCGTCTACCATAACGAAAGGAACAATACGCAGATAGCTACATACATACAAACTTGCTATTTAGTAACCTCGAATAAAACAAAATTAAATTATTTTAATTACATTGACTTTTTAATGGATGAATACGTGTATTTAACATATTAGTATGTTGAAATTTCGGTTAGAAACAAAATAAGATATTTCACAGTTGTTTTTAGCGAAATTGCAAAACTCTAAACAATTTTGAAACGTTATATAAAAGCCAGTCAATGTCAGTGTCTTCAAACTGAAGGGTAGTGTTCTATCTTGTTCAAAGTTCACATTCTTTAGAATTGGATAACAATTCAAGAGAATTGACAAAACAAAATGTTTAAACGAATTAACTTTTGACTTCGTAAATCGTGTAATTCGTACTTAAGCACCTTTCTGGAAGTTCACGAAACATTTTTATTTAGAAAGGCAATAAGCTGACTTGAAAGTTAAATTTAGTACGTGACGTCACAAGTTGGATGACATAACAATATTACTGTAAGTGACGTATTAAGTATACTTTGGTTCATTGCAAATCTCATATCATTGTAATTTATGATTTACTTAAACTTTAATAACCGATATGTACTATTAATGAACTAAATTACGCGTTATCAACATATTGCAAGTGATGAAAACAATGTATTTACAAACATACTTTTAAAATATATATGAATTTGTTAAAATATTTTCACTTTTTTTCTCGTTCAAAATATAGAAATCAAAATTCCTAAATCTGTACTATCAATATATTTATTAGTAAAATTTAATCAGCACAAACAATAATCCAACAACATATTTTTTGTTCAAAATTTTTACTGTTTTAATATTTCATTTCAGTTTATTTACAAAGTATATTATTAAATTAATTAAGTAATGCAATCAGATGAATACAAAAGTTTTCTATTATTTTGTTTTTATATATTTTTGTAATTTAATAATAATTTTCTTTTTACTTTGTATTAATAATTTTGAATCTCTCAAAATGGATCTAAAAATTATTTGCAATTTCAATCACAGAATAACAATGTTCATAGGGAAATAAGACAGACAATAATTTAACAGCTCAGAACATTACAAAAATATATTTTATTTCCAATTAATCTTTTCCTGTAAATATTACAAATTATTTAATTCTTATATTTATGTTGATATATATCAACATACAATATCACGAACTATTGATATGTTATAAATAATTAAATGTTGCAGTTGATTTGTACATTGTGCTTTCTTCAAACCTGATATTTAAGTCTTTGAACTCCTCCCATTCAGAAAAATCCTGGTTATTATCAGGTTCAACTTTTGACATGCATTAGTAACACCACATGTGAAATGTGTTCCCTTCTTTTTCATAATTGCCATATGATATCTTTGACAATAAATTGTTTTTCCTAATACAAAATATGAGCATTTTAATTTTAGATTTAGTTAAATTAATAATATGAATTTTTATCATGTTATTTTGTTTTTCATTTGCAAAAATAATATACTGTAGTTTAATACTTAGAATAAGATACAAGTTAATACTGACACACATTTGAATATATTTTATCTAACTAGTACAACTATTGATATATTTTAAAATAGTTGTCTTTATTATGTCAATAAAGGTAAACAATTTTTTAAAAATTATTTTGTTTCATTGTGGTAAATGACTCATGTACTGTACTGTACATTTGATAGATAATACATGAAATCAGCATTTATTCAAACCCCTATATCTATGATAAATAAAGAACTATAATAATTACATTTTTGAAATTTAACATATGATAACAACTTGATAATAAACACACATATTTAAAATTTTATAATAATATATTGGTTATGAAATTTGAATATAGAATGGGCAGAGTGACTTGTGTAAATTATAAAAGAAAGTACTTTAAAGTGTATTTATTAATAAAACAGAAAAATTTAATGAAATGGAAACTGTTCTTTTTTTTTTTTATTAATAAATACACTTTACTTTTTATAATTTTAAAACTTTCTTATAAAATTCTGTTTGAATGTCTCTCTCTATATATATATAATCTTATTAATATCTGGCAGAGATTCTTGTGCTGAAAAACAACAATACATTCACTATACATACAACTTTTTTAATATATTCTTTAACTGCTTTTATTATTTACATAACAAAATTTAAACTGATTAAATTATTCAAATTTAAGAAAAACTCTCACTACAGAAATCACCTATTATGCTAAAACATATTTTATTATTAAAGAATGATGATAATATTGCTTCATATTTAAAATATTTCTACTTTCTCATTACTAATTTTGTATTTTATTTATATCTTTCCTTCTTTTTCAAAAATTATGTTGTGTTAAAATATATGTCTGGTTATAAATACATCATCAAATAATGTCCTTGTATTCATCAGTATATATACATCTTTATAATTAATTAGTAAAGTAACTGGAATTTTAAAATATCTGTACTTTTATGAATTATTATTGAATTCTACAAGAAAATATATTTATATACACACAAAGAAACAGTTCCTTCAAATATTTTAACTTAAATATCAAAGATTTTTAAAAGCAAACAACAGATTCTATTCAATCACATACAGTGACACATTATAGCTTCATGGGGCCCCAAGAAAATTTGAATTAGGGGGCCCTGTGTACAGTTCCCCCTATCCTCATTTGTTTTTTAATGCAACCTCTGTGCTGTGCCAGTGCACCCTATGTTTGTGCCAACTGCCAATCTAGGTATGGCCCAAATTTAAATTTCGATATTCTTACTACAGTAATGAGTTTATAAAGGATTGGTTTGGGGCTCCCTGTTAGTGGATGCCCCAGGCAATTGCTCTTTTTGACCATAGTATAACATGCCACCAATGATATAGTCATCATATTTTAAAGTGTCTACTAAAGGTTTCTACATTTTGTTTCGTGTTTTTTTTTTTTTTTATTAGTGAATGTACTGTACATCTGTTAAAAAATATTCTTTCTTCCAAAACCAATTCTTTAAAAAGATTTTTTTAACTTATGAGGGATGGCAGGAGATGCATTTAAAAAAAAAAGAAAGAAAGACAAATGCTGAAATTAGAACATTTGAAGACAAAGGTTAAGAAGCAAAACATTATTTTTTGTTTTTAGTTGGTTATTGGTTCATAACTGTGTTTTACCTTCTGTAAATGTAGGAACAGACTGAATTTCAGTTCTTTTCATTCTAATTATTATAAATCAACTAACAGTAGAATATTTACTGATAGATAGTATGTAAAAAAATCATTGGAAATTTTATTAAAACATTTATAAATTGATAGTAGCTATCCAAACAAATAAATGCCCTTGTTTTTCTAATTAATTGAATGATTCGGATTTGAAGTAATAAAAATATAAATCAAATCAAATAAATATTAAGTTTAAGAAAAATAATTTATATCACAAAATGAGTAATGTTTTATTGCGATATCATCACAACAAAACATTACTCATAAACATTATCCACCTCAAATTAGTACTGTAGTGTCCTGTATCCTGTACATCACACTTTTCTGTTAGCAATGGAGTCATGTCAGTCATCTAACTCCTTTCGGGAAAATTTTTGAATTGAAATAATGTGACTTCCTGGTTGCATCGGAAGTTCATGTTAATCAGGGTTTTCTGCACCTAAGCTTTCAAGATCTGATCTTGAATTTCATTTATCTAACACTGCTCTCAAGATTAAGGAAAGACAGACAGACAGATTGATGACAGTGGGAATTTATATGTCTACAATTTTTTCAAATTGCAGCCTGATTAAGCTCTTTTGCTGTAACTTATGTACCATCATGTCATGTTTGAACTCTCATATTTTGTTAATCCATCAGATTTAATTCAGAATATATCTTTCATTTTTTAAAACTTGGCCTTTAAATATAATAGAAAATTTAAGGGTAAAAAAAAAAATAATAAAGAAAAACTGTATTAAATAAAAATATTTGCTAGTTTAAATTATAAACTTTTACAATAAACTGCTTAACAATAAATATAAATAACACATTTATTAAAAATATTTCATATTATTGTATAATAAGAGTTTTTTCATGTAAATTTTAAAATAATTTTGATTATTCACTCATTCGTTACTTGACGTTTTTGTTGTATTGTTATTAAATATTTATATATCACAATTATAAATCATTTGTCATTAATAAAATTTTTAAAACATAACAAATTATATATTAATTTTATGACTTTTAAATATTTTTTCTTCTAAAAACAAAACAATTATCATTGTTCACAGTCTTGAAGATCTTCCTGAGATTTCATAAAACAATATATAAGCTTCTGCTGTAACTAAGTCATTTGTTGTAATATTTTTGGATACTCTGAAAAAATAAAATAAAATTTTTATTTAAACAGGAAGTACCTTTCTAATTTACTATTTTTAAACTAAAAAATTCTTTGGAATACAAATTCCAAATTTTAAAAAGGTTTACATTAAATAAACAGTTTGTGGTGATATTTATAGATTAATACTATTCTTACAAGACCACAGAAATACATTTAGAGATACTACAAATTCCTTGATTGGAAGTTTGTAGTAAAGAAAGTTTCTAAAAGTTTTGGACATTTGAATTTAAAATAATTTTAAAAATAAATTAAAGCAATCAAAATATATTATCATTCACTTTTAAAATATTAATAATACATATATATGTAATAAATTTTTATTAAACAGACTTTTTATTATTTTTTTAAAACTCTTTGTCCTATGAGCACTACAATAGAGCAATTAAGTATTTTTTTTTTAATTTCTTATATTTTAAAGATTTCCACTTTAACCAGATAAATTTTATAAAATGAAAATACTTCAATTTCTTATCTCTTATTTTTACTTTATTCTATTAACAGTTTCAATCAATGAAGAATTTAAGAATATATGGTAATTCAACAAAACAAGAAAAGTTAAAATAAATTATAAAACTGAATTTTTTATTCTGATACTCAGTAAGACTGAGATAAAATGCATACTGGGTTGAATTATTTAATCCAGCCTAATCTTCTCAAGTAATCCTTTGAATTAATACTTTATTATACTCATATATAAGTCAAACAAAGATCAAATTAATAATTTAATATAAACTATTAATTATTTTCTGCCATTTTTGACTGGCATATCACTTAATAATAAAATAAACTGATTCAAGGAATTGTAATTTAATAAAGTAGTTTTATAAATAAAACAAAGTAAATAAACTTATCTTAAGTTTAAAATTTAATTTTAAAATAAGCTTATAATTTTTTTTTAATACAAACTGTTTTTCACTGTAAAGCAGTGGTGGAGAAGTAGCAATTACTGATTATTATTATTATTGACCAGAATAGAAAAAAAAATGGACTCACTTTCTTTAAATTAATCTGTCACATTATTATTTATGAACCAAAATTTTTCAAAATACATATTTTAGTTTTAAAAATAAAACAAACAGAAAGAAAGTTATANGAAAAATGCGAACTAATGTAACGTCGTATGGTGAGTTTTTGTTCGTATCGTGGAGCAAAAATATGTTCGAATTTCATGTCGTATCCTGAAAATTTCGTATGCTGGGGCGTTCGTAACCTGAGGTACCATTGTACATACATGCAATATACAATATATATATATAATTGTTTTCAATAGTTTTTCCAATGCAGCCTTCAAAGTTAACAGCTTTGTTCTTTGTGGGCCACAGAGAAAAAGTTTTCCCACTTCTACTGTAAAACAAAATATTCTAAAATTTTATTTTGTTAAATTTCATAGACATTTTTATAAGTTCTATTTCTTGTTATGTTTTAAGAAAATCTAATGACTTATTGTTATGCATAATTAAGAAACAACATTTATTTGTTGGCTACAAACAATTAATACATTCAATGATCTTGACATTGTCATATATACTGTACAACAGTCATTTCAATAATCTATATCAATATTGTTCAATTGTTCATGAGAGAGATTGAAATAGATATTTCTTAAACAAGTCATTATTTTTACTTATTGAAATCTATATTTTTTATATAAGTTTGTTTAAAGATTTAGGAATTCCATTTTGTCTCCATTCTTGAGACTATCCATTAATTAATTGTACCATTTTTCAGCCACTTTTGGTCTATTATACTCTGCTGTGTACAATAGATGTACAGTACTTTTGGTTTGCCAAAAGTGCATCTATTTAACCTTTAATTACATATACAATAGTTCATGGACACCTTGAAATTGAAGAAATGACTTTAAAAAGTTCTGCAAATATTTTCTGATAGTTTATTCATATCTTATAAGTAGGTGTATAAAAACAAATTTGTATGTCATTAATAATACTAAAAAGTCCACATACACAATGCCTCAAGCCTCTCCCTCCTCACCACATGGAATGATGTGATTTTTACAATTCTCTCCCTCCTTAAACTGTACCAGTACACCTAATGGACAGCTCTTGTATATTTGTTAACAAATATTAATTACAACCGTAAACACAATCATACATTTCCTTCTGATAAATAAAGTTGCTTCTACACACTATGTTTTGAAAAGTAAGTCTCTGACTCCGCAAAAACATGGCGGAATCTCGATTGAAGGATACAGTGTGCGGAAATCCATTACCGTGATATAAGTAGGATGTTCAGTGATCTTATATTTATCTACTTATATCACAGTAATGGATTTCCGCGCACTATATCCTTCAATCGAGATTCCGCTATGTTTTGAAGCTAAAGTGAAAGCATTAACCATACGGTAACAAAATACATTATAGTTGTGATTATCCAAAGTAATGTGGACTAAAAGTATAACAGATAATCAAAAACTTGAACAACACTGAGTATTTAATAAAGTATTAAATAAAATGGATTTGGATTATATTAATATGGATAATGTATTCTATTTTTAGGTTTGACCTATTTAATGAGCATAATGACTTTTAAATTATATAATAAAATACTTTTAAATTTATTTATAACTGTATTAATTAAAGCAAATGTAAACCTATAATTAAAATTCCTTTTATCTTTTATAAAATTCATATTGCCATGAGAAGTCATCAGAGATCAGAAAAAATGTTTTAAAAACTTTTAGAATTCCTTCTTAGTACTGCACTTCATCATCAAATACCATTAACTTTGCCACTGGACATGCGTGATTATGCAGCCAGTAAGCTGCTATGGGCACCATGGGTTTACAGGAAATTTTAACAATGCTCCTCTATAGTTTAGTTGGAGATCAGAAGTTGATGTTTTTGCTTTCAAGAAAGTTAGTCTTTGGCACTGTAAGTCTAATATCAATCACTTTTTTCCAGGTGTTTTTGGGTGCATTACATTCTGTCTTCCAGTCATCAGGTTTATCTATCCAAAGTAGTTTATATGACAATTGAGATGGATGTGTCCAAATCATTGTAGTCTGTGCTTCCGAATGGTTGATGATATAGTTGGCTGATTTAAACAGTACTTTCTGATGTTTTCATTGCATATATGTTGTTGTAGAGTTACATCTAGCATTTTTCTCAAACAGTGCATCTGGAATGTCTCTAGTTTATTTTCATCTGATTTCAGCACAGCCCACATTTCAACACCATAGAGAAGTATGAGTAAAATTAGAACCCTATATAGATGCATCTTTCTGCCAAGAGATTTTTTTCCTTTTCCATATGCACCAGTTGAGCCAGCCAAATGTTGCTGCTTGGCCAATATGGCTTTTGGTTTCTGCTGTGGAAGCAGTCTCTTTTTCTTATAATATTGAGCCAAGATATTTAAATTTGTTAACCAGGTCAATTTTGGCCCCATTAAGATGAATCATAGTTGCTGAGCCATGACTTTAGTTTTTACATGTTGATGACTAGGCCATATGATCGGGCAATTTGGACAATCAAATTAAATATGTCAGTTGACTTAACCCAGATAAAATTCACGAAATGAATCTTATCTGGAATAGTTAATTATGGATTAACTGGAATACTTATCATGAATACTTAACTATGTTTTCTTATCTTTATTCACAAAATATTCTTTTACAATTCATCTTGGATAATATGGAAATGGTTAAATGGGTCTTGGTTAATCAAGGCTCTACTATAATAAATATTGACTAGGGCATATCAATTTGCAGATTGTATTTTTTATTCCTACTCAACTATCATCTATTCAAATCAAAACAGTTTGATATCCAAGAGGATGACATTTATATATTGCAAAAATGTTTTTTGGATTTCACCACTTCAAACATTTTCATATAAATTTGCCATTACGACAAGTAAAGACCTTGTAACAGCCAAGTTAAATATTAAAACGTATATATATACATATATACGTATATACATATACATATACACGTATATACGCGTATATGTATATTAGTGAAACTGATGTTTTCAAACTTGAATGTGTTTTCTTAGTTGCTAGGTATGACATGTTAGAGTCATTGCTGTTCTAGCATTATGGTTAGACTAGCTTAAAATGATTGTAGATGTCTTTGCTTTTCAATAAAAATTATCCAGTTTGTACAATACAATACAATACAATACAATAACACTCTTAAGGTTGAAAACATCAGTTTTTAGAAAAGCAGTTTCACTATACATACAGTATATATTCTGCTCAATAAAAATATGTTTTCAATATAAAATCTTAGTTTTTTGAACACTGATTAAAGCTGATTAAACACTTGAAGGTTATCTCAACAAAAAATCTTCAATAAGCATTAAACTCTTGTAATTTCCTGCTTATATCCTGCATTGGTGTATACTTCACAGAAAATTGATAGAATAGAAGTAACTCTTCACATAGTTCACAATTTCAAATTTGCTGTTGGAAACATGACAATTAGCATAAGAAGTCCAACTATTTATCAGGCCAATTCAAGACATATCCTTATCAGATAAGAAAGTAATAATGTATATATGTATTATTCTTTTATTAACATAAAAATGTAAGTTGAAAAATATTATTATTGAAAATGAAACATTGTAAACTACATTGTTTTGTAATTTTTGTTTTTTGTTACATAAATTTTTTTATGCTAAGGAATGACAGAACCAATTAACAATATATAGTAGAACAAATAAACAAATTATAAGCATAAGGAAAATATTTCTGTTTTCTGATAAACTTTCTTAAACATCCAATCAGGGCTGTGGAGTCAGTAAAAAACACTCGACTCCGACTCCTGAAAAATTAAATACCAAGTCATTTTATAGGGGCAAAGGCACTCCTAGAGGGGCATCCTACTCTGAACTCTGAAAGGAGCCTGAGGCATTTACCCAAATACTTTTATAGTTAGTATTTTTAATACTTAACTTGCATTAATATTTATTTGTATAAAAAAATTAATTTTTAACAAATATTTAATAAGAGGAGA